ATTGACAAGGCAAGGTATATAATATAAAAAGAGAGCAAAACCTACACCCACTAGCACTGATGAGGTTACCTAGTTGAGTGATGAACAATTAATCAGTGGAACAGCTTGCCTCCAGAAGTTGTGAATGGCCCAACACTGGAAGTCTTTAAGAAGATGTTGGATAGCCATTTGTCTGGAACGGTTGGACTAGAAGACCTCCAAGGTCCCTTCCAACTCTGCTATTGTATTGTGTTGTGTTGTGTTGTGTTGTATTGTATTGTATTGTATTGTATTGTGGGAATTGTAGTTCAATCAATTTAGATGGCCCTAAGATGCTTATCTGACAAATTATATTTAGAGTTGAGTGCAGTTGAGTTGAGTACAGTATTGTATTGTATTAAAATTTAATTTAATTTATTATTAGAGGTAAGAGCCTGAGGGGTGACAACACTGAGAACAAGGAATTGCATCATTTTAGGTTCTAGAACTACATTCTGGTACATTCATATGTGCTTTTTAATGAAAGCCAGAAACATTTTCTGGCAGCAGATAAAAGCCCACCTAGAAGAGGGTCTTCGGTCTCTCTGATTTACTTACTTCTAAAGTAATGAAAAATTAGTATAGTTTAACTTTTTTTTACTCAGTTTCTTAACTTTGTAACATGTGCTTCTTCTTCTTTGCCACCTTATTCTACTCATATAAGGTATATAAATTCTCAAGAAGTCAAGAAAAGCAGAGTACAAGCTGAGGTCATCCCCAGAAATATACGTATTTGGATAGAGAACCACCTAGAATTTTTCAGTAAAGTAATGCTGCTGTGGGCATTCATTTGGTGGTGACAATTCAAAGTTACAATGGATTCCCCCAAAAGTACTTACTACCTAGTTCCAAAGCTCCAATAGCCACCATTTCTCCAGTCCAGAGGTGAAATGCTCTGAAGTCTGCTATCCGGTTTCTTCACATGCACATGCGCTGTTTGCCCAAACCAGTAGTAAAAAAATGCTACCGATTCAGAAGAACCAGTAGCTCCAACTATCAGCTGTGCAACAATCAGCTGTGCCGCACACAGCTGATTGTCACACAGCTGATCGCCGGAGCTACCGGTTCTCCCGAATCGTTAGCATTTTTTTTTTTACTACCAGTTCAGAAGAACCAGTAGCTCCAACTATCAGCTGTGCAACAATCAGCTGTGCCGCACACAGCTGATTGTCACACAGCTGATCGCCGGAGCTACCGGTTCTCCCGAATCGTTAGCATTTTTTTTTTTATTACCGGTTCGGGCGAATCGTTTCAAACTCGTAGCATTTCACCTCTGCTCCAGGGGTGCTTGACAACCAACACGCATTTAAGACTGTTGGCATGATCCTGCCATGTATGACTGTGGCAGTTGTTTTATAACTGTGGCATTCACTGAATGACTGCTGGGTTCTCTTAATGACTGCAGGGTTTGCTCACAACCCAGGAAAGGGTTCCTGCCAGTTCTAACCTCTTCTATAGAAGAGGTTCCACAAATCTACCGTGCCGTTCAGAACCGGTTCCAGCTCCCTCCCCCCACCCGTCCGCATATCATCAAGATGAAGAGCGAGAGGAGGAATTCTGGGACTTGAAGTCCTATACAACTATAACAATCGGGCTCTATCACAGTCATAAGTTGAGGACTACCTGCATTAGTTAATGAATGTTTCCTATATTTTGTATTATATTATCTTGTTACTTATCTTGAACATTGAACGATCTCCCCGTGGAGATTCGTACCCTCACCACCCTCCAGACCTTCCGCACAGCCCTCAGAATCTGGCTATCCCATCAGGCCTGGGGCTAAAGATTGTAACCCGCCCGAATGGTATGAATGTTGTGTTTTAATCATGTATTGTCTTATATGAAAAAGTCT